GGAAAGGGAAAGGGAAAGGGAAAGGGAAAGGGAAAGGGAAAGGGAAAGGGAAAGGGAAAGGGAAAGCAGAAAAGAAAAGAAAAGAAAAGAAAAGAAAAGAAAAAAAGAAAAGAAAAAGCAAGAGCTTGAATATGTCAGTAGTTTATTTCCTTTACGCTGTATCTTAAGGCCAACATGCAAATTGGACAGAATTTTATTTTAATTAAATGACTTAACTGGAGCTGTTCTAGAAACATCTTAATTTAGTAACCAATTTCTCTTAGGTTATTTCTGGGTTTTGATCATCATCATAAGGATCAGCTGCACTCACCAGTTTCCACCTTCGAATGGTCTAAGCGGTCAGTGATCTTCTCCTGGCGGATGAGGTAATCAACAATCTGCACCCCAATTGGTGGCTCTGAGTGCTCCCACTCCAGCACCACCAAAGAACTGCTAGGCTCATGAACTGTGGACAACCTTAGCCTGCAAGGACAGGAGTATGAAACAGAGGTCAGGTGAAGAGCTTGACAGGAAAAGCAGTTTAGATTTATTTTGGGACAAGTCATGCCTATACAGAAGGAAGGGACTTCATTTAACCAGGATAAAACTGGACTGCTAATATTTAATCTAGAAAGGAGTGCAGAGTGGTGTTTAAATTGACCATGGGCAAAGGCTGGTAAAAGCACATTGCATGGTGCAAACTGACATTATTCAAGCAATGACAGACTATTAAAATACATTTAGAACATTTCTGGTAAGAGGCATGTCTAATAGCTTGTTTCAGCATGTAGAGAGAGTTTCTTTTCTAAATTGATTAATTTCAGCTGACTTCAACTGATTGTGGATAGATTAACCCACAATCAATTTCATGGAGTTTTGACGCACAAGTGGAAATTTGAAACATCTTATAATGCCATCTAAAATCTTTTCCATTGTTGAACTTTGATGCTCTTTTATAATAGCAGTAATTTATCAATACTGTGTAGTTAATATTCAACTTTAGCTTGAGCCACCAGCAAATCTGTTTTTCAAAACAAACTTTGCCTTTGGGGAAGCACTTAGCACATTCTCCAGAATTCTTCCAAATTAGGCGGCATTTGAGTAGAATAGCTGTCGCAAATTAATGTGAGTCAAGATTTATCTTTTCCAGTTTAATTCTCCCTGCCTGGCTGCCCTACAACTGAAAAAGGGCACAGTGACCCATTTAAACAATTACCTAGCTCACCCTCTTTTCTTCTTATTAAAATGATGTCTCCTGGCTTTTGATCCATGTTTGTTCTCAGCTTTTATGGAGCAACCATTTTTTGTTCATCATGTTTGGAATGCTGGATTATACCAACAAACACATGCATTTTTTTCATGGAACCTCTAAATAAGTAGCTTTGACTTAAGCTCCAATAATATGTTCCTACCCAAACTCATCTGCAATCACACTTGTTACAAGTCATGAAAGTGGTAGTTCAAGTACTGGGGGCACCAGATTTAACACTACTCTGATATGGCAACAATGAAATTATTTGTCTACAAAGCACCCCAGATTATATACATTGCTTTTGCTCCAACAAACTCATATAGTTTCTTTATAACAATTTTAGTATGGTAGTGCAGTTCAACTGTGGTTTAGGATTGGGAAGACTCAGATTCAAGTCTGCTCTCTACCATAGAAGCTCATGGGGTGATTTGGGGTCAGTCACGAACTCTCAGCACATCTACCTCCAAGATTATTGTGGGAAAATATTGAAGAATGGAGGGTTGAAACTGCATAAGGAGCACTGAGTTTAACAAGAGAATGGGGAGAAGCTTCCAACACCGTGTTTGCATTGAGAAAGCAAACTCGATGTGATAAGCCCCCTTCCTCCTTCCTTTTAATTCAACACTTCAGTGCAAGCACTGACTTTCAGGGAGAAGAAAAAAATCCTACTTTTCCTTGTCCCCATAAACTCAGTGCTCCTGGTGCAAGGGCTGATTTTAAAGGAAGAAGGAAAGTGTGTGTGTCTGTGTGGGGTGGGGTGCTCCCTCCACAAAGTTCTTGCTGCCCTGATGCGAATGCATTTTGGGAGAGTCTTTCAGTTCAGGCAGGGATCTGAATATGTCACTTTTCCTACCAGAACCAAAAATCTGTTTTGATCCTTCTTCTCATGCTAAATTATGGGGCAATCCAGATCTCAGGATTAAACCAGTTTTATGGAAGATCTGGACAGATGCTGGGATCTTTACATTTGATCAACTAGTGAATAATAATCAGAAGGTTTTGTTTTGTTTTTTCATTTTCTATGTTTAAAAAAGAAGAGCCAGTTTTGTGTAGTGGTTAAGGCATCAGGCTAGAAACCAGAAGACCATGAGTTCAGCCCTAGGAAAGGCAATGCAAACCACCTCCGAAAAACCTTGCCAAGAAAACTGCAGGGACTTGTCTAGGCAGTTGCCAGGAGTCAAAACCTGACCCGAAGGCATCAAAAAAAAGTTTAAAAATAAAAGCCATTTGTCAGTTGTCATCCATTACAAGTATTTACAGTTACAACATTAATTGACATCTCAATTTGGACCAGTGACATTTTCAGCCTCAGAGACACCTAAGCTATTAGACAGAATCATTAAATCCTATGAGATCAAAAAGCCCACAACCAGTCTTTATGAATACCTGTAATCAATAAAACAATTCCATAGGCAAATTTAAAAGAATGAATGGAATAAGGAATCGGAGCCCCCCCATTTTGCTGCAACAGTAGGAAAATATTTTAACCTCAATGCCAAAACTCTCATTATAACTTAGATTATGGCTTATACAACAAACAGTATTTCAGATTTATCAGACCCCCGTGCATTTGTACAGAAAGGCAATGAGGAAATCATTTTATCCAGTGGTGATGAGCTTCTGGGCTAATAGGCCATGGTGTAATTATTTGTTATCCTGTTGCTGGTGAAACATCAGGACACCATATAATTACACCACGGCCTATTAGCCCAGAAGCTCATCACCACTGGATTGAAGCTGGCCATGAAAGCCTGCATTGATATACAGTAAATCATTGTGTTGTTGAAGAAGCAACCACAGTAATACTTAATGTTTTTGCAATATCCTAAAGTTACTATGTTCTGGGAAGAAATAATTACATATACTGATTATAAAACAAAGTTTAATATTTTTGGATGCACACACACTTTTGAAAGACATAGCTTTTACATGGAAACCCACAGCTGGACAGTGGAAATGGACTCTCCCAGCCCTTATTACTGCCAAAAGATTAGTTCTTCAACATTGGAAAGATAAATTTAGGGGGCTAATTACTTAGTGGATTGTAGACCTGATGTTGCTTGCATGCTATGAACAAGTTGTTGATAGACATAGATTATGCATGGCCAATTACAATGAAATATAGCTGTCTTTTGCTGAAACTGTTATATTAAAAAAGTTCCTTTATACAGCTCTATAAATATATGAGAATCCCTTAAATATACAATTCATTTTGTTATCATTGCAGTGTTTTTTAAATCTTGTTCTTTTGTTATTGTTTGTATTTTCTTCTCTCTCTCTCTGTTCTGTTTTATATTAAAATAAAATAAAGCTATTCCTAGCAGAGCCAGGGAAAAAAAGGAGAGAACATTTTGGCTTTAGGGCAAGGATCTGCAGCAGCCAAAACAGAAATGGCAACAGAGGGCAACTGAAGCACTGTAAATCATGGATTTCCCTCAGTCTCTGTCTCCATGTGAATCAGAATTGTTACATTTCCCCACAGAAATTAGTCTTCTGCCAGTTCTCTTGGATCTGGCTTCAGCCTGCTTAAGCAGCAGGATGGCATCAAGATAAAGGCTCCATTGTGAGGATGCATCCCCCACAAGCAGTAAGAAGGTCTTCTCAGCACCAGGGCAAGGATGGTGGGTAGTTAAGCCCTTAGAGTGCAAAGTCTAAGACTGGGCTGCAAGTGAGGGTGTTCTTGATTCATATTCTGACTGACCAGCAGGACCTTTGTGTCATCTGTATTAAGCACCCAGCTCTTTTTCTTTCTCGTGTTCATGACAGATATAAAAAATCATGGAAGGACTTGAACAGCATGCTTGAATTTCAAACCCGGAAGATTTTAGCCTCAAGCAGAAAGTTATTATCCTGACCCCAGATTTACCCACTGAAAAAGAAGTAGCCCTAGAATACCAATTTCTCAATCTAACTTGGCTGAGTTACTGCACAAGTACTTTAGTCACCACCAGAACTACCAGAAATGTTAGATCTGTTCTCCAACAGTGTCAAGTTTTTTAAACATACAATTTGTCTGGGATATAATCTTCATTCCAATAATATTTTTGCTGTATAAGATTCAAAAAATGCCAAGGTACTATTCAACCTTAGGAAAGTCAAGTGTGCTCCAGACTCTGGCATTCGCTCTGCAAAACACATTCCTCACAGACCCCACTGTGACTCTTTAGAGCAGTGTTGTCCAAACTTGGCCACTTTAAGATGAGTGGACTTCAACTCCC